TTTATTCCACAAAACCAGTTTTTTTGTATCTTTTTTGTTTCTTTGCCTTGCAAATGTAAGCAAAACCAAAAAAGCTGGTAAAATTTTTTCTGTTGTTTACCACTGTTACCTATAACGTCACATTCTTTGTTATGATTATATTCTTCACCATCAACAACATTATCAACCATTAGTAGCAGCAGTGAAAACAACAACAGCGGCAGAAAAAGCTACTTATTTTTCGTTTATTGATCATCTCTAATTATCACACTAATAATCCGCAACATATGTATGAGTTCAAAGGTTTTTTTTACATCTGCTTCTCGCTGTCGACATTAATACCCAAATATCAATGTTATTACTTTCAGTAAAAGCCATTTCTTGTTTAAAAATTTCTTTCGTCAGTTTTTTTTTTCTTCTTTTACGATACATAATCAACCTCATTCGATTCAAAAAAGCAAGGAAACAATTTTTATCAAATATAATTTAAAAAAAAAAAGTCGAAAAAGTTTACTGATCAAATAAAGTGGTAATTCTTCTTTCGGCATATTTGATACCAGAATTATGCTTAGGCAAAACAGAAAATTGTAAAAAAAGAGAAAGTTAAATTATGCTTTTATTGAAGTGAGTGAAAAAACTGTTGTGAAAAATGAGGAGATAGGTGTTAACGTAATTGGATTACTGCAATGCTTTTCTATACTTCCAGAAATAAATATACATAACAAACAATTAAAATGAAAAATTAGTTGGTAAAATTTAAGCAACTTTTTTTTTACATTTTCTCCTCTTTTTTGGTGTTTTATACAAGTATCAAAAAAAAAAAAAAGAAAAAACCTACGCAAGAACAGAGCAATAATAGAAAAGAACAAAAAAAATTTTTTTTCGCATAAAAATGAGAAAAATAAGGAGAAATGTACATGGAATTTTGATTGTTTCCACAACGTGGAAGGCAAGCAAATTGGCGTGCATTTATTCCTAAAAGATACATTTCTGAATGCTGTAGCCAAAAATCGTTCAGATTCAGGGTCAGAACGATATACACAATAGGGTAAAAGTGACGTGGACCGGACGACGGGAAAAGAGAGAAGAGGGAATAGCATTTAGAAGAAAAGGGATAGGTGGAGATGGGATAACGCTTTTTATTTAAATTCATTCTTGCTTTTTTTTTTTCTTTGATTCTGTTGGTCATGGCCCTGTTCTTACTTTTAATTTAGGTTAATTTTTTCAAATAACTCTTAAATTTGACACCAAAACTCTTCAGTTTTGTTATGTTTGTTCACATAAGCCATTTTTTGCTCTCATTTTTCTTTTACTCTTTCAATGACT